TAGGATTTTTCAATTTGTTTTTTTTAATGAAATATTTTAACGGCACTGCAATTCCCAAAATGGTGCCATAATATGTCAGTAATTTTAATATTTTTTTCCTAATTTTTGTTTTATTTTGTTTTTTTTTCATAATTAATTAGTTCCTATTATTACATCCTCAAAATCAAACACAACCGAAACGGAAAAATCTGATCAAACCATATCAAAACATCAATCCAGAAAATAAATGGTAATTTTTGACTTAAGTATACTTTAAGAGGTAAGGTTGTAATAGTTTATTCCAGTCTTTTTAAGTTGACGGCTAACAGATTCAATAACCAGACCATAAACCAGTGGAAACTCGGATACTGTAGGGGGTTTAAACATTTCTCTTGGTTGAGGCTCAAAAATCCCTCGGGGTGTGTCGAGAATCTATTGTTGCTAAATACCATGGTGGAGGCTCAAACGCCTTTGATGGGGTTTTTACATCTGTACGCTTCGCTCGGGGTGTGTTGAGAATTAGCTGTGGCTAAATACCATAGTGGAAGCTCGTGTGCCGCTAGGAGAGAATCAGCCCACACTATCCTTAATCTTTATATTCTTCTCAAAGTTGTGTCGAATGCCATATGTGAGTGGCCTCCATGGTGAAAGCTCAAGCGCCATACCAGGAACTTAAATAGTCAAAACTTTATTGAAGTAGAGTGAATGCACTGGAGTGGGCGTCATTGGTTTGTGGGGCTGGTGAACGGTAGGTGGGCTCTCTTCGTGCTGACGTCAACTTCTGACGCTTCAATTTGTTATTAAGTCTAAATACAGATAAAAACTTGAGGCAAAAAAATAATTGCTAAAACTGCTTAAAACATTCCTGATCTGGTGGAACAAAAACAACTCAAACTTTTTAACAATTTTGTGCAAATCCAATGAGGTTGTTAGATTGTTCGTCATGCGTTTTAAATATTTACATTCGTATGCACCATAAATGTACGTTATACAATAAAGAAAACAAGTTAAAACAAAAAAATTAAATCCACGCCCAATCTGCGTAGAATAATAACTCTTGATTATTTAATTTAACTTGCTAGTGGCTGATGTTTTAAAAACTTGCCTCAAACCCTCAGACGTCGGTTGCACGTTTTTGAAATTCCTTTACTTTTTAAAGAAAAAAAAACATTTTTGTTTTTCATGTTTATTATGCTATACGAAACTATAAAAAATTGAAAAGTTTTTGTTCATCATGGTTGATAAATGACAACAAACAAAATAAGTTTTCAGATTAATGACATTTTGAATACCACATTGGCTCGAAAAATTGAAAAATGATTATAAAAAATTTGTTTTTCAATTAAGACTATAAATTAATTGAAAGATATAATAAAACAGTCAATTTAAGTGAAAAAATTAAAAATTGAGTTTTTTCAAAATTTTTTATCCCAAATGTCTTTTAATTCGTGACAATAATTTTTCTGTTCTATTATTACATTATTTTGTTAATGTGTTCACAGAATTATATTAAAATATTTTAGTTAGTTTAAGAGCTATATTGTCCAAATGTTCAGAGAATGTAAAGTTAAAGGTTTTGATTATAAATTTCAAAATAACCGAAAGATGGTGCCATTAAAATCTTCACAACTTGAATTTTAAATATTCTTAAAAAAATGATATTATTGTCGATGAAGTTACCGTTAAAAATAAAAAAATCGGAGATGGTCGAGCGTAAGCTTTATTTAAAATCTTTCAAGTTCACAAAGAATTATCCTAACTGTTGTATCATATAAGATATACATATACGGAACGGAACATATAGGAAGAAAGAGAATGATTTTTTTTAAAATAACGAACAAGGTTGACCAGAATAAAATTTAAGACATTTATCGAGCCGGGCCACCCAAAAATGAAATAAAATAAAAATAAAATAATGTTTATAAAATAATAATACAATATAATTATTATCATGTAATGCTGTTTTCTACAAACTATTTAGGTTATTTTTGCATGTTTGTCTCTTTGTTTGTAGTTTTGTTTTTGTTATCGCCTTTATTATTGATGTTGATTTCGTTGATTCAATTTCATCTTTATAGTTTCTGTTTTAAATATTTATGATGATTCCATTCCTATTTTTGGTATAAATATTTTTTGTATTTTTAACCTTCGTTTATGTTTTATCATATTTCATTCTCCCCATCGTCATAACAATAAGCGTCATTGTTTTATTTTTTAAGTTTGTTATGTTCTTATTAAATAATATTTTTATTCTAGGACAAATATGTTCATCAATTTTATCGTGCATTTTAGTTTGATATCTTTCAGTTTAGCTCTAGAGAGGCGAAATCTAGTCGACCACGGACGCAATGAACGTGAAAGTTTTGCTGTAGCAATAAATGCAGGACCGTCGTATTCCAAAGTACGGGTTTATAAATGGCCAATCCCAGCAATTTCTCTACCAAAAATTGAACTCGTTTGTAGGAAGAAATTTTTTTATACGTTGCACACTGTAAAAAACGACAAAATCGGTCTTTTGTATTTTCTCAGACAGCTTTTCGATTTTGCAAAATCTTGCATCCATCCCTTCGAGAGAATATCTATAACTCGCGTTTACTTGTTTGCTACGACAGGTTATTAATGAAACTTGTAAACAACAATCAGACTCAACAGATTTTTATTCACAGGATTTAGACATATATCAGAAAATGAAACCAATGCCATTTTCAAAATGTTACGTCAACTATTTTCTGACGCTGAACTTAATCCATTTTTATTTTATACAAACGATCAAGTTAGACTGCTGTCAGGAGAAGAGCTTGCAGCATTCAAATGGATTGCTATTAATTATTTGGCTGGAACATTTGATGAGAAACGTATCGTATTCATATATTATTTTATAAATTATATTATATAATTATTAATTATTACAGTCTTTTTAAAACCAATTCAAAAAACTTATATTTCAGCTAACGAATCCCATTCAAATTCAACTATTGGAGTTTTAGTAATGGGTGAGCTATCGTCTCAAATTGCTTTTGTACCACAAATGGGTATTCCAAACGGAAAATTTCCTCTAGATATTGCCGGAAATAAGTATGATTTATACGCTAACAGTTTTTCCTATTTAGGTTATAAGACCATGTTTTACTGGCTGTTAGATTATTTGCAAAAAGATGTCAACTCAACAGTAATTGTTAATCCGTGTTTACATTACGGTACCTAATTTTGTTACAATACTCTTATTAAACGCCGTACTTAGTTTAATAAAAATCCCAACGTTGACATTAAGGGTTTAAAATTACAAACGAAAATAATATCGTCTTTGTTGGTTCAGGAAACCTGCAAGAATGTTTAAAAATAATTGAAAATCTTCTTTTTAATGTTTTGGGTGACTGTAAGAAAGCATATTGTCAATTTGATATGACTAAACATCCACCGATACCGAATTCACAAGTAAATTAATATTTTATAAATCATTGGTACTTGAAACTATACTTAAACAAAGTTTTTTTTATTATTCTTTAAAAAACCGATTGCTTTAAATTACTAAGACATTTCATGTTTTTGGAGTATTCAAATATATTTCGAAATTTTTGAGACCCTGGCAAAAAATGTCCTTTCCGGTGAATAAAAAATTTGTCTTCTCAGATTTGAACAATGCAGCTTTCTCTTACTGCAAAAAAGTTTGTCTTCAACAAAATAATAATATTATTATTACAATTGTTTTACGGAAGTCAATAGTTTCAGAAATTTCAGAAATTCAATAAAACGGATGAAGACAATAAAAAAAGTGAATTTCCGGATTCTTGTTTTGTCGTTTTGTATGTATCAAAGTTTTTGAGACTGCGTACAACTTTAGAAATACGTCGGGATGGTTAAACTTTGATTCCACGTTTTATGGAAATAAAGCAGGTACAATTTGAATTCATTGATCAATATTAAATAGTTTTATGGTCAAATTAGAAAGATTGAAAATTTTCTATTTCCAAAAAATTGTATTCATGGTAAATGGTGATTGACTTAATATCTATAATGATCAACACAACGATTAATATTTTATCACAACGAATAATATTTTAAATCAAAAAATGAAATTAAGTCATTGTAAGTATTTTATAATTTAATCAACGATCTTATTTGATCTTTTGTTTGTTTGAAGGATCATTAACTTGTTGCTTTCCAAAAGTTTTTCCTATCTTCGAGCTTCGCATTTCCACTCCAGTTCACTCAAATTGCTCACAAAAGCTGACAACATCAGCGATCAATTTGAAATTGAAAGTTGAAATGAAATCATTGAATGTAGGGATGCACCGAAGTTCGGCCCCGGCTCCGGCCAAAATCCGGCTTTTTTTCAAATCCGGCCCAGGTGGCCAGATTTAGGGCCGGATTTAAGCCTCTATCAACATTTAAAAATGTTATAAATAGAAATTTTTTTTATCGAATTCAATTAATTTTATGTCAATAAGTTAAAGGCTAAGCATATTTGACACATAATAACAACATCACTAATTGTGAGGTGAGCTGGACAATTTTCTTTATGCTATAACATGGGTTATGCATAAATTATGAGCTGATCTTTATGTAAAAGAACTTGTGCACGTGTATTATACTATATAATTGTATATAATGGATCATATAGCTACATAATATATATATATATATATATATATATATATACACACACACACATAAGCGCATAATTTAAGAACATGGTATGTTAAAGGTTAGGCTAGGCATACATGACACATAATCAGGCCCGCCGACAGAAATTTCGGGCCCCTAGGCTGGACTGTGACGGGCCCCCCGATGACCGCGGAAGATAAACCTCTAAAGTATCTTATTTTAGGTTACATGACATTCAAAAAAAATTTGCATATCATATACGTATACTACTTGTACCTTAATATTTATAATTTAAGATTGACCGATATAGCCAACAAAAACAAAGTATAGTTTTATTCAGTTTTTATTTGAAAAAAAACATTAAAGTTTACTTTTTAAATTAAATATCCAAATGTAACAAATCGGTATTTATTGTTTTAGAAACAAACTCTCCTTGATTTGGCTAAGGCAAAATTGTTAATAACGTCATCAAAATTCAATAACTTTGCCAAATCATGTTCAATCGCCAAAGTCGCAAGACCGTTCAATCGTTCTTGTTTCATAGTTGACCGCTGCACACTTTTTATTTGCTTCAGCTTGCTGAATGTCCTTTCAGCTTCTGCTACAGTTACAGGAATTGTACAAAAGATTCGTAAGGCAATAGCAATATTTGGAAATATAGATTCCAATTTCAACTGATAAATTTTATTCAGCAGTTTTATGGGATGAAGATTTTCACTCTATATGGTATCCGAATAAATTGATTTTAGACATTTCACTTCATTAATTAAGTCACTGCTGACATCTTTGTCATATTCTTTGCAGAAATTAGAACATTTCTTTTCCAGATCACTTTCTCCAGGTTCTGTAAATAACCACAAAAAATTGAAAGAATTGTTAATATTTCTAGCCATATGGAAACGCTCTGTTAAACCAGATATTATACTATCGATAAGTTTATAGAAAACGTTCACTTTAAAATCATCATCCACTTCATTTTGTGCACTTTCTTCTGGCATATGTTGATTTTCATCATAAAAACGTTTTTGGCGTTTTTCTGGAAGTTCTGTTTCACATGAAATATCCGACGACATAGTTTCTGCTGTTATTTTGGCTTCTGCTAGCAATAAGTCCCATTTTTCACGTAGATCCTTCAGTTCCCCAAGAAGAATGTCGATGTTTTCTACTTCTACATCCAATGTGGCTTCTCTGGCTTGAATAATTTTGTTTCGATTGTTTATAGCAACTAAAACTTTGAGCCATATTGTAGCCATTAAAACACACTTGAATGATTCCATATAACGCTCAATTCCTTGCAATTCAGTCTTACTTTCTGATGACAAATTTAATTCTCTACATTTAATAATAGCATGTTTGATAATTGGCAGGTGCTCGAATCGTTTCAACACTTTCCACACGTGCCGACCATCTAGTTTGAGAAAGATTATGCAGTGAGCATCCAGTTAATCTCTGTAGAATTTCCTATCGTTGAGGACTGTACGCAAAGAAATTGTACAACTTTTGAACTATTTCAAAAAAAGTTATAACGTCATTGCAACATTCTGCTGCATGCATACCGCACAAATTTAAACTATGGGCGCCACAATTTGAAAATTTCGCTAGAGGATATGCATGTGCAATGATTGCTTGTGCTCCTTTGAACTTTCCTGCCATATTTGAGCCGTTGTTGTATCCCTGACCTCGACAGTCATCCAGAGAAATTTTGTTTTTCTCCAGTTCATATTTGATCATATCTGCAACATCCTGGCCAGTATTTTTTGTTATAATCAACAAATGCAAGAAAACGTTCTTTGACCGAAAATGTTGAGTTGCAGTTTTGTACATATCTCAGAATGAAAGTACTTTGTTCTGTATGAGAACAATCTGGTGTAGCATCTACCATAATTGAAAAATACTTAGACCTTTCTCTCTTTGCCAAAATTTTTTGAATAACTTTTGAGCTGCATGCTTCGATAAAGTCATTTTGAGAATCTGCTGATAAGTAATGAACCTGAAGGCGTTGTCCAAGTTTTTGAGATTTTTGAACTTTAGAAACATGCTCTTGTAAAAACGGATCAAACTGAGCTAATAGTTCTATAATCCCAAGGAAATTTCCATTATTATGGTCATCAATTTTGTTGGAAGAACCTCTGAATGCAAGTCCTCTTTCACCCAAAAATAAAACCACTGCTAAAATTCGTTTAAGCAATTCTTTCCAGTATTTTACTTTTGTAGCAATTTCTTTATCAATCTGAGACTCTATATTCTTTCCAAAGAGAAATCTTCTTTCTGAATCGCGCCACTTTATATAACATTTTTTATGACCGTCACTTTTTTCATGAGCTGGTATTTTATCGTACACTTTACGCCATGTTTTTAGTTTTGACCATCCTTGATCACTTGACAAAATTGATCTGCAAGATACGGCAATTTCACTAAATAATCTACATGGGAAACAAAACAGAAATTCTTTTTCTTTACTCCATACCAACCAATCCCTTTCACAAACATCTCCATTTTGTCTGGACACCTTTAAAATGCACGTCGGAAAAGCTCTTTGTCCATCTCCCGGAAAATTGTCCGGGTGTCTAGGTGGACCGTTTCAAATCACGGTTTCTATAGTCTGTGTGGGTATTGGCCCGGCTGGCAAAGTACCAACGTCAAATCCAAATCTTTCAACAGTTTCTATGTTTACAGAGGCATCATTATCTTTTATTATATTTACACTGTCATTATTTTGAGTTTGGATATCGCTATTTCCATTTTCATCCAATCGGTGCGATTCTGAAAATTCTAGCCCTACCGGACAGTCAGGAGACTCAGCCGAAGTAGGAAAATTTACGGCTGTCTTTGTTTTGTTTTTTTCTTTAATGATTCCGAATTGAAATAACGAACGACTACCGATTTTGTCGTTTTCCAAAGCAGTAGCTTTTTCCTTCCGCTTTTGTGAGCCCGATTTATGTTTATATTCCATAATTAATTAAACAATATTAATTTATTAATATTTTATGATTGTTTATTTTAAAAGCAGTTTATACACTACAATTTTCGTGCAAAAATTGTTCAAACAGAAGTGGCCTGATGTGGGCGTGTTCAAAAATTGGTAAGTAAAGATCATAGATTATAAATAATGAATTTAAATGATATATATCTTCAGCAAGATAATATTAGAAAATCATAATTATGTTGTAATACATAAAGTTATGTAGTACATTATGTAGGCTTAAAATTTTGAAAACTAAATTAAGCTAATTTAAATTGTAGCGCGCGACCATTGAATTACATATAGGAATTTTAATTCAATGGTTTGGCGTAAGTTATTTATTCTCTAGTTGTGTGAGTCGTTGGTCGTTCAATTTATTTATTTCAGCATATGATAGTGCTGAGATCAGTGAGGAGTTTTATTATGCGTCTACAATATAAAAAATATTGAAAATGTCATATCAAATATAGGGGCCGTTCACTATTATGTAGCGATCCGTAAGAAGGGGATCTAACTAAGATTTCCTTATGAAGTGTTATATTAGGGGAGGAGGGGTTTTGAAATTTATTACGTAAAATATTTTTTATGTAAAAAAAATAATTTCTTTTTAAATTTATCAAAAATTTTATTTTTTCATGGAAAACACGTATTTCGTATATTTCAGTGCAGATTTATGGAACAAATTATACTGTGTTATTTCACATTTTCATTTTAATTTTATAAACAGTTTATAATAAACTGCGCTTGTTTATATATATGTATATATATATATATATTCATATATTTACAAATATATACATATATATATATATATATATATATTTATTTACATGTATATAAATATGTGTATATGTGTAATTTATTTACTAAAAAAAAAAAAAAAATATATTATGTAAACATTGGAGGAGCTCCACTTTTCGAGCCGAAATCGAAATGCATAAGTTTGCTAATGTTTAGGTGGTGTGGTCATCTGTATATAATGAAAGTTATATTAGTTATATAAATAATTGATTGATTGATTGATTAATAGAAAGGGTTTGTACAGATTATGATTATGATTTTATTGCAGAAAATATTTTTGTTACGTAAGAAAGTGTTACTGAGAGAAAAAAGCCGTTTTTGTGTTACTTAATACTCGAACAGATACAAAATAAAATAAAACCAAACACTGCAACCTACAGATATTTGAGGTTTAATTTGATTGTAATTTTGATTGAAGTTCAGTTTAAAAAAACTAGACAATAATATCTATTTTATTGCCGTGAAAATATTTTCATGAATTGATTGACGAGAACTGCTCGGGCCCCTGCAAATCGACAGACCCTTAAAAATCGCCGGGCTCTTCAATATCGCCGGGCCCCTAAATATCGCCGGGCCCCTGGGCATTTGCCTCCCTTGCCCCCCCCTCTCGGCGGTACTGCACATAATTACAACATCACTAATTGTGAGGTGAGCTGAACAATTTTCTTTGTGCTATAACATGGGTTTTGCATAAATTATAAGCTGTGCACGTGCATACATGACACATAATAACAACATCACTAATTGTGAGGTGAGCTGGACAATTTTCTTTATGCTATAACGCGGGTTATGCATAAATTATAAGCTGATCTTTGTGTAGAATTTGGCATATCACACAATTTATTTATATATTTGAATTAATTAACTATTTGCTTGGTGTTATTTTTTGATGTTCAACATGTAGATAACCGTAAATGTGAGTAGTTTTTTAACGTATGTAAAAAGATAACTAAAATCCGGTTCCGGCCCCAGATAACTTAAATCCGGTGCATCCCTAATTGAATGTATTTTCTGACCATAAATAAAAACAAAATTTAGTCTGATCATATCAAACACAATGCCAGGAACGTGATTGGAGGAAGATAATAAAAATCATAAAGAGTGCTATCCATAGTACTATCACGGTGTAAACAACAAAATTTTAACTAAGAATCCTACGTTTAATAAAAACAATATTTATTTATTAATCATCTGTTTCAAGAAACTATTATATATATACCAAACCTGCACTGGTGATGGATTATGAAAAATCGAAATAAGACCTTATCTACATGATGAATTCAGATAACAAGTTTCATTAAATTTTCATGAGAAACTTGAATAATTTTATTTTCAACAAATTGAACAATTTCCAAAAAATTCTAGTACGAAAAATGGAAAAGACAAACTTACATACAAATATATATACATATATATATATATAAATATATATATATATATATATATTTATATATATATACATATACATACAATACAATTCGATAAAGTATTTCTATGTTAAAATGTATATATATATATATATATATATATATATATATATATATATATATATATATATATACATATATAAATATATATCGAAAGCGCTCTCTATTATAATTGAAATTAGTGAAGGTCAATAAAATACAATTCGATAAAGTATTTCTATGTTAAAATGTATATATATATATAAATATATATATATATATATATATATATATATAAATCATTTATATATAAAAATATATTTATATATATAAGGTGGTAAAAAACTTAATTAATGTAGTAATTTATGAAATCTACAGAACTTCTAAAAATTCTGCAGATTTCATAAATTACTATTGATATATATATATATATATATATATATATATATATATATATATATATATATATATATTATCATCAACAATTTATTAAGCGCATTATAAAATTGAAATATTTCGAAAGCGCTCTCTATTATAATTGAAATTAGTGAAGGTCAATAAA